TGCAATTAGTAACTTACAACACATTGCAGGTAAGGATAAACCAATATCTTGCACGCTTGAAAATTACACTCAGTTATGAAAGCAACTTTTGGGAAGTCCTTGAAGTTCTCATAATTTATACTGTGGATTTCTGAAGAGTTGTTCTGAAGATTTTTTAAAAGTGTTTTTCTCAGAGGAACAAAGTTACTGCAAGGTCTATATTTTCTCATCGAGTACATGCACTCTAGCATTTCTTGAAGAACCCAGATAGGTAGAGTTCTTCAAAACCATACAGAAGCCATAAATAAGATGTATAACCAGGCTAGGCTCCTATGACTGCTTCAATACCTAAATGGAGATCCCCTTGGTGAGTCTGGCAGGTTTCCAAGCACAACATCTTTAGCATGCCCTAAATGCTAATTTGTTACCCTTCTGATGTCTTAGGGACCTTAATTTGTTGAATAACATTCAATCTGTACCTCAATCTGTGCGGTACACACTAATGGGTTGAAAAACATATTAGGTTAATCAATACAATCTATTCTGCAACTGCCTCATCCTAATGCATATGGTCTCATTCTAGACTAGTAAGGACCTGACTTGAATGCATCTTTCTTCAAATCATGAGATTTTCTAGGTGGATCGATTCTATGACACCTTCCAAAGGATCATCATAGGCATTAAAATGTAAAACTCTTAATTAACGTACTCGTTCCAAGTCATCGATCTAAATATACAGGCAGAGTAAATGGGGCCAGAGATGGAATCACAAGATTTTCTATTTTTCTGTGCTTTTGTTCCAGTGATTTTCCCATTTATTTCACTCGGTAAGAAGACTTATGGTTGGCAAGTGCAGATGTGAAACACTGACCATTTCATCTCTCCCAGATATTAGAAAGAACCACCAAGTCTAATGATCTACTGAGCAAATTGTGTTGCCTTTTATTCCTTTGACTTTCCTTTCAAAACTCTTGCTGTATTAATACGCACTCCAGAGGAAAATACTCAAGGTAGCATACAAAAACAGTTGGTTAACCAGAAGACCATCCAATAGTTGACGCATATTTTTAAAGTGATTTTTACATTTTATTTGTAATCAAAAACAGGCACATTTCATTCACATTCTAAATGTCCACGATCTACATAGATATTATACTTTTCCTGACTTGTGCCATATCACTCATCAAACATATCTGTCCACAGACAGGCATCTGGACTTCTGAGGTAAAGACTGGACTTCTTCCTAGGACAAATAAGGTTCAAAAAAATTATTGTGCCCATGGGTTGAAAATTGATTCAATGTTCAAAAAAGCCACTTGTTTACTGAAAGGACCAGGTGAAAACAGGAAAATCAGGTCATCTCTTTCCAACGCTATCAAGGTTATTCAAAACATGTTTTTCTTTAATTTCCTTTCTAACACACAGCTTTCATGTTTCAATTAAAATGTAATTAATTAGCTTAAAATGAAAGAACCAAATTGCAAGGTACAAGAAAGAGGAAATTTATTGCCTACTAACCCTGAAAAATAATAAAAATGCAACATAAACACAAACACACTGTTACAGCCCACTGGGGTGTCGTGCCATAAACTGAGACCCACTATTCCTGGAGCCATTCTTAATGTTGAACATTTTTTTAAAGGTACACAGTATCGCAATTTATCTACCCTACAGACTGATGCTGATAGAAATCAAGGGGCTAGGTTTCTGAACTAAAAAAAAATTATTACAAGTAATAAAACCATAAGTACACATAAACAGATATAAACTATTATCATAGATCATAACCAAAACTCTAATCTCCATATAAATTAGCCCCTTCAATGCATAGACACTGACAAACACTTAAGGAAACAAGATTATTGCCAGAGGTACAAAAAAAACTGAAAAGTCAGTTCAGTGCTCTTTGATTCCCGATTATAATGTTGAGATGATCCTACATCAGCTCACCAGGCTGTCTTCTTCCTTACCTTCCTCTGGAACTTACACTGGTTTGTAAGAAGTACAGTGCGACTGTTTTATTTGGAAAATATCTCAGTTCAAAAATCACAGTTCCCAGAAACTGCTACAGGAAAAGTAATTGGTTTTGAACTGGTAACAAGTTTAAAATGAAGTTTTTACTGCAAACAACAGAAAGCTTCTGCCTGGGGAAGACAACAGCACACCCTGCAAGGTCTTTCTTTCTCTCTGCGTGCCTGTGTTTCTGTAAATTGTTTCCAGTTCCAAACTGTTCAGTTTGCAGAAAACTAATCAGATTCACTTGCAAACAAATCTTTGGTTCCTGACTGCCTGCACCTTGCAGGAACATATTGCCACACTAAACAAAAAAAAGAAATAAGGAGGGAGAAGATTAAATATGCGGGTAAGCAAGCCAGTAATATAAATGAAGACTGTAAGAGTTTCTTTAGGTATATAAAGGGCAAAAGAGAGGCAAAAGTGGACATCGGACCACTGGAAAATGACGGCAGAGGGATAGTACTGGGAACAAGGAAATAGCTGAGAAACTGAATAATTACTTTGCGTCAGTCTTCACGGTGGAAGACACGAGTAATATCCCAAAAATTCAAGAGAGTCAGGGGACAGAGCTGAGTATGGTGGTTATCACAAGGAAAAGGTGCTAGTAAAACTGATTGGCCTGAAGGTGGATAAATTACCTGGACCAGATGGACTACACACCAGAGTTCTAAATGGGATAGCTGAAGAGATAGTGGAAGTGTTAGTGGTGATCTTTCAGGAATCGCTAGAGTCAAGGAGGATCCCAGAGGACTGGAAAATCACAAACGTGACACCGTTGTTTAAAAAGGGAGTAAGGCAAAGGACGGAAAATTACAGGCCGATTAGCCTAACCTCGGTCGTGGGTAAGATTTTGGAGTCCATTGTAAAGGATGAGATTTCTGAATATTTGGAAGTGTATTGTAAAATAGGGCAAAGTCAGCATGGTTTCATCAAGGGGAGGTCATGCCTGACAAATCTGCTAGAATTCTTTGAGGAAGTAACGAGCAGGGTAGACCAAGGAAAGCTAATGGATGTTATCTACTTGGACTTCAAGAAGGCCTTTGATAAGGTGCTACACAGGAGGCTTCTGAGTAAGATAAGGGCCCACAGTGTTAGAGGCAAGGTGCTAGCATGGATAGAAGATTGGCTGTCTGGCAGGAAGCAGAGAGTGGGGATAAAGAGGTCTTTCTCAGGATGGCAGCAGGTGAAAAGTGGTGTTCCGCAAGGGTCAGTGCTGGGACCACAACTTTTCACTTTGTACATTAATGATCTAGATGAAGGAACATAGAACATAGAACAGTAACCCCAAGATCCCTCTGCTCCTCCACACTGCCAAGAATCTCTCCGTTAACCCTGTATTTTGCTTTCAAGTTTGTCCTTCCAAAATGAATCACCTCACACTTTTCAGGGTTAAACTCCATCTGCCACTTCTCAGCCCAGCTCTGCATCCTATCAATGTCCTTTTGTAACCTAGAACAGCCCTCCGCACTGTCCACAACGTGATGCACCTTCGTATCGTCCGCGAACTTACTAGTCCACCCTTCCACTCCTTCATCCAAATCATTTACAAAAATCACAAATAGAAGAGGACCGAGAACAGATCCTTGTGGTACACCACTCGTAACTGAGCACCATGTTGAATATTTTCCATCCACTACCACCCTTTGACTTCTAAGGGTCAGCCAATTCTGAATTCAATCTGCCACATTTCCCCCTATCTCATGCCTCCTTACCTTCTGCATGTGCTTACCATGGGGAACCTTATCAAACACCTTACTTAAATCCATGTATGCCACATCCACTGCTCTACCTTCATCCACGTGTTTGGTCACCTCTTCAAAGAATTCAATAAGGTTTGTGAGGCATGATCTACCGCTCACAAATCCATGCTGACTATCTGTGGGCATTCTGGCTAAGTTTGCAGATGATACAAAGATAGGTGGAGGGACAGGTAGTATTGAGGAGGTGGCGAGGCTGCAGAAGGATTTAGACAGGTTAGGAGAGTGGGCAAAGATGTGGCAGATGGAGTACAATGTGGGAAAGTGTGAGGTCATGCACTTTGGTAGGAAGAATACAGGCATGGACTATTTTCTAAATGGGGAGAAAATTCAGAAGTCTGAAGGGCAAAGAGACTTGAGAGTTCTAGTCCAGGATTCTCTCAAGGTAAACTTGCAGGTTGAGTCAGTAGTCAGGAAGGCAAATGCAATGTTGGCATTTATTTTGAGAGGACTTGAATATAAAAGCAGGGATGTATTACTCAGGCTTTATAAGGCTCTGGTCAGGCAATATTTGGTGTATTGTATGCAGTTTTGGGCCCCATATCTCAGGAGGGATGTACTGGCCCTGGGGCGAGTTCAGAGAAGGTTTACGAGAATGGTCCCAGGAATGGAAAGCTTAACATATGAGGAACGTTTGAGGACTCTGGGACTATCCTCATTGGAGTTTAGAAGGATATGGGGGGATCTAATTGAAACTTTCAGAATACTGAATGGCCTGCACAAAGTGGATTTTGGGAAGATGCTTCCATTGGTAGGAGTCTAGGGCCCGAGGGCACAGCTTTAGAGTAAAGGGAAGACCTTTTAGAACGAAGATAAGGAGAAATTTCTTCAGCCAGAGAGTGGTGAATCTACGGCATTCACTGCCACAGAAGGCTGTGGAGGCCAGGTCACTGAGTACATTTAAGACTGAGATAGATAGGTTCTTGATTATCAAGGGTTACGGGGAGAAAGTAGGAGAATGGGGTTGAGGAACTTACCAGCCATGATTGAATGGTGGAGCAGACTTGATGGGCAGAATGGCCTAATTTCTGCTCCTATGTCTTATCTTATGGTCTTAAAAAGATAGAGTTTACAAATGTATCAAACTTTTTGCTGTGAGGTTATCCAGCCATCCTAACAAATTCCAGTTTTTAAAAACAGTTTCCTCCGTGCAGTCCAAAATTTGTAAAAATACAAGAATAAAAAGACATGGCTCTTGCAAAATGTAACATATGAGAAAGGAGAAAGGAGAAAGTATTTGGTACGTACAGGAAGAACAGGTTACACTGTTTGAAAAAAAAATGTCACGAGTCTTGGAGGTGTTAGATGATAAATCTGAGGCCAGTTGTTTACTCGTTAACTCATGTTCAGCCACAGTGGCAAAGTTGACAGCTCTTGAATTCTTGGAGAATGATTGTTGGCCCAAGTTGTTTCTTTCACTGGGAACATACATCAAGGTTATGGGAAACTTGGTGCTGAAAAAGAAATTTTGTTGAAAGATTTTGTCTTCCACTGTCAGGACAATGCATAACAAATACCATTGTAAAGAGAAAACAACATTTATATTCTATCAGAAGAGAATACCAATTGGTTGGCAAGTGGGTTATGATGGTAAAGGTGTAAAGGGAGAATGCACCAGTTTATAATGACTAATTGTTAATTGACAAGCTGTATTTAAATGCAAGACTTATGCCTACCCTTTGTTTTCTCTCTCCGGGCCCTGTAATCTCCCACACCTTGTAATCAGTATAAGAACGACCTTTTCTTAACGGTTTCTAGTCCTGAAGAAAGGTCACAGGACCTGAAATGTTAACATTTTTTTCTTCACAGATTCCATCAGATCTCCTGAATTTCTCCAGCAAATTCTGTTTTGGTTTGGTTCATATTACCATATTACTCATTTGCGTAATAAGCAGAACGTCTTTAGGCTTGATGACAGCACCATGCTGTTAGTGGCAAACATGAGACATGTTGCTACTGTATCGTAGCAACATGAAACAGCAAGCTTCACCTGTTCCTCAAACTTCTGAGATCATCTGAGATAGACTGGGCAATTTTCAGGACCAACAGTGATGACCTTAAGGTCATTCATAAATTTGCACAATATACAGTGAGACATGACCTGATCATTCCCCAGTATCCTGCAGGTTGGTTCAGGCTTTATTTACAAGGGTGCAGATAAGGCCAATTCTCTAGCAGCGTGGCACACTTGTAGGTACTGGAAGCTACACACATTAATACACATTAATACTTGGCAGTCAGAAAAAATACAGACACACACTCTTTAATTCAAATCAACAAAATAGCTGACAGCCATTCTTCGGTTCACTAAGGCAACGCTTTGACCAATTAAAGTCAATCTGCTTGGTGTAAAATGTAAACAAAGTCTGAGAGTCAAACTATCAGTTATCGTTAACTGGTGCATTCTCCATGGCGACACTTCTACCATCTTATTTTCCAAGAATCAGCATTCTCCTCTCATATACTATAAATTTTTCTCTCTATTTAGTCTCTCCAAGTAGTCCTCATAACATTCAATAAGTATTTAGTTGTGCACTTGAAATGTTAAGACAGACAAAGCAATCGGCCAAAAGTGCGAGAAAATTTGATTAGAATATTTAGGTAGTTTTGACTGGTACAGACTGCATAGGACAAGGGGGCTTTTTCTGTGCTGTAGATCTGTTTGAGTGCAAAGTAAACATCTTCAATAAATTGTGCTTTTTTTCCAGCAATACTCAAGTTCTGTAAGACCAAATGACAATTCATATTTCTTTTTCCCATTTTATTTGAATTCCAGTGCCTGTTATCATTTTTTCTGTCAAGCTGGATGATCTGCAGGCAACTTTCATCCAAATGTGTAACTTCCAGAAAGGTGTGAATGAACCAGGAGATACCAATCTAAGTTCCACTGCTTTTTAGAATGATATTACTTTTGGCTCATACTGATCCTTCTTTACCAATGGTTTCATCACCTTCGTCAACCTAGTCAAGTGATCACAGCAGCCATTTTAGGTGAAAACTTGCCATTTTTAAAGTGGTATTTCACTCCATGAAGGCCTCAGATATGAAAATCAAATGATGGAGGCTGAAAATCGATGGCCAATGTTTACTATTATCATAATACATGCAACAAACAAAACTCAAGTCATAGATATCATCGCTGGCAGAAAATGTGCAGCACAGGGAATTTGAGACAGCTAGTGAAAAAGACAGGATGCTGTCCCTGAAGCATCCTCAATGATCTAATTTATGCAAAGAAAATGATGTTTATTGGTTCAAAGTGCATGTTCAATAAAGCACTCCATGAGAAAACACTTCAAAGGGACCAGGAACACACTCAACATACTTGATTATCTTCCAAAGAATTCCCATTCACATAAAGTAAGAATTCTCAAAAAATATGGAATAAACACCATGACCCAATTTTTCCGTTTCCCCCCACTCCTAATGTAATGAGTGCCAGGTAATTACCATAAATTACAATCGATGTGTTGACCCAACATATAAGACAGCCTATTATTTTTGATCCCAAAATTCATGGTTTTGCGTTAACTTGACACATCAGTTGACGCCTTTTTATAGCCATGTCAAGTTATACTTACATTAGTAGTCACCCTCAATTTCTCAACTCACAAATGGATATTTTACTTTGGGTACCTTATAACTGGGCACAAGGGATCCAAACAGGTAATAAAGGCTGTGATGCAAAGACACACAGGAGGCTAAGATAAACCGCACAAGCCAGAACAGCAAAATGGCAACCACACACATTGAAAATTCACTTTTATACTCAGCATATAAGTTGAACCCAACTATTGTGACTGATTTGGAAATGTTTCAAAGGTCACCTTATCCATCAACATCTACTGTATCTTAATTCGACACTTGGTTGAATTCAATGTACGTTGTTGTTTTATCTGGTTCAGCTAAGACTCCCATATCCTCCAAACTGCCAGGATGAAGGAAGAGGGAAAGAGAGTCAAGAACAGAGCACAAAGCGGGAGACAAGCAGAAAGTTACAGAAGACGTGAAAACCCAAAACAATTGAGAGCGAGATAATTTGTAAAGTGCAAAAAAAACCCAGAAATTACTGGAGAAACTTAGCAGGCCTGGCAGCATCTGTGGAAGGAAAGCAGAGTTAACATTTGGAGTCCGGTGACTCTTCATCAGAACTGTTAGCATCCAGGAAAAAGTGGTATTTATGCTGAAGCTGAAGTTTTTTGTTGGGGGTGGTGGGAGGAGAGTTGAGCAGATATGTGGCAATGGACCCCAGACAGAGAGTGCGAGAAAGAGACACACAGCCCACATCATGAAAGGAGTAGATAAACAAGGAGATTATGAATAGCAGGCCAGCACGAAAGACAAGCTGAATAAATGGTAATAAGAGCTAAGAATAAGAGAAAATGGGTGAGTGGTATTGAATGCAACCCATTTAATGTGATAATGTGATAATAAGAGTACATAATAGGGTTGGATGGTGGAAAAACATGGAAGGACGGAATCAGAAACTAAAGTTATTGAACTCGATGTTGAGTCCGAGAGGCTGCAGGGTCCCCAAGTGAAATATGAGATGTTGAGCCTGCACTGAGGCTCATTGGAACACCACTGCAGGCCTGCGACAGAAACGTTTGCTAGGGAACGTGGTGGTGTGTTGAAGTGGCAGGCAACTGAAAGCTCTGCATCATTTTTGCAGACAAAACATAGGTCTTCTGCAATGCGGTCACTCAATCCACATTTCATCTTCCCAATTAGAGGAGACCACATGTGAACAGCAAATAAATTAAACTAGATTGGATGAAGTCCAGGCAAATTGCAGCTTCACCTGGAACGTATAGCTGGGGCCTTGAAAGATAAGGAGGGAGGATGTAAAGGGTTAGGTATTACACCTTCTGAGATTGCCGGGAAGGTGCCATGGGCAGTGAGGAGATCATGGAAATGGAGGAGGAGTGGACCAGAATGTCCTGGAGGGAACATTTCCTGCAGAATATTGACAAGGGAGGGGAGAGGAATATGTATCTTGTCGTAGCATCCTGTTGGAGATGACAGAAATGGTGGTTTACACTTCTTTGGATGTGGAGACTGGTAGGCTGCTAAATGAGGACCCTGCGGAACTTATAATTGTTGTAGGAGGGAAGGAGAGTGAAGCCAGATCGATGGGAAATGAATCGAACATGACTAAGGGTCTTGTTGACCATGGTAACGGGCAACCCTCGTTTGAGGAAAAAGTTGGACATTTCCGAGGCACCCCCACAGAAGATGCATCAGAACAGATACAACAGAGGCAGAGGAACTGAGAGAATGGAATCTAGTCATGACAAAAAGCAGGTTGTTACAATGTGTAGTCCAGGTACTGAGGGAATTGGTGGGTTTGTAGGGTCTATCGGTGGCCAGCCTAACCCAGAAATGGAAACAGAGATGTCAAGAAAAGGGAGGAGTCAGAGATGGACTAAGTGAATGTGAGGACAGGGTAGAAATTGGAAGAGAAGTTGAATATTTCCAGTTCAGAATAAGAGGGAATCAGCACTGATGATGTCATCAATGTACTGGAGAAAGGGTTGTGAGGAGGAACCTGAGTAGGACTGGAACAAGGAATGTTCTATGTACCCCACAAAGAGACAGGCAGAATTGGGGCCCATGTGGGGTCTGTTCTGATGATATCACCTTCCACAGCAGGGTCCTCAGAAATGTCCACTTTTTTCCTCAACCGAGATTTCCCAATACTGTGGTCAACAGGGTCTTTTAATCATGTTCAACCTAGGTCAACAGGATCCTTAGTCATGTTTGACCTATCTCCCGCCCTTCTGCCCTCAATCCTTCCCTTCCCTACCACAATAATAGGGTCTCCCTGGTCCTCACTTCCCACGCCTCCAGCCTCCGCATTGTAAGCTGCCATTTAAGTCACCTCGAACAGGGTGACACGACCAAACACATCTTCACCTCCCTTCCCTTGTTAACATTCCACTGGGATCAGTCCCTCTAGGACACTCTGATACACTCCTCCTCTATTCCCAAAATCTCCTCACACCCCTTGGCACCTTCCCATGAAACGACAGAAGGTGTAATACCTACCCATTTACCTCTTCCCTCCTCACCATCCAAGACCCCAGACATACCTTCCAGGTGAAGCTGCGATTTACCTGTACTTCAATCAATCTAGTCAACTTTATTTGTTGTTCACCATATGTGACTAGCATATCATAGCTATTATAGAAACATTGCTAAGGGAGGGACAGCTCAATGTTCAGGGGTATAGATGCTATAGGAAGAATAGAAAGGGAGGCAAGAGAGGAGGGGAGTGGCATTTTTGATATCAGAAAACATCACTGCTGTATTTATGGGGTATAGATGCTATAGGAAGAATAGAAAAGGAGGCAAGAGAGGAGGGGAGTGGCATTTTTGATTTCGGAAAACATCACTGCTGCATTTATGGGGGAATCATCCATGTGGGTGGAACTAAGAAATAAGA